GAGGAGAGAGGCGAAATAGAGCATCAATTGCAGGCTTTCTCGAGACTTGCTTTGAGATGTACTGTTGAAAGAGGAGCAGATAGGCCGTACATAATCGATGTTGCAAAAGAACTGGTAAGGATTCAGAAGTCTGTTCGTCCAATTTAGCCCACTCAAAGGAGAAGCAGATAAGCCACATCGTCAAAGATATTATGTTGTTGGGTAAAACACTGTCTAGATTGTGTGTTAAGTTGTTATTAAATTGATTGCTTGTAGTATCTTGGAATGCTTGACTATGTTGTTTATGCTTAAGAAATGTCTAAAAATCACTCAATCAAAACACTTCCAAATATCAGTGTAAACAATTTATATCGTTATGAAATTAAAAAATTCTGAAATCCGATTCGGCAAGCGGTTTGTAGCTTTCCTAGAATCATTGTTCAAGATTGTTGGCATAAATTTATGTCCATAAGGCCAGGTAGGCGCTAACTAGGTATTGAGACAGACAAACAACAGCAAACCAAAAGACCAGTTATGGAGTGGGGTCGAAATAAGGCTCTCACTTTTAGATCCAAATTGGTGGAATCAAGTGGGGTTGCCATAGGCAATAAGGAATATACTCGTAGAACTATTAGGGATAGAGCATGACAAACAATCATATCTCTAGNGGCTCTCACTTTTAGTTCCAAATTGGTGGAATCAAGTGGGGTTGACATAGGCAATAAGGAATATACTCGTAGAACTATATGGGTTAGAGCATGACAATCAATCATATCTCTAGGTGCTAGTTTGAATTGTAAAATGTCTTCCTTTGTCTCCGTTTTCACAGACATAATTATCATAAATCTCTTTGCCAATTGAGTTAGTTAGCCGAATAAGACAGAATTTATAAATGTCGGCAATTGATTATGTAAAGTTTTCTAGTTAGTGAATTTTTAAAAACTACCAAAAAGTATGTTTTATTTGGAAGGTTCAAGTTAATTTTGCTATCGAGGTAATATTAATCCTACATTCAAGTAATAAACGAGTGTCTTGTCTAATATCTATGTCGTGATTTGGAATGTCATTCTAGCATAACCTAGTATATATGACATATTTGATATGTTGGATTAGACAAAAAAATGTTTCTACTTCGTAGTCTTGATCATGAAAAGTGCTAAACATGCCATCAGATATTTAAGCCTCTTGCCAAGACGAGACAAAAATTGGACAATACAATTGATATTGTCACGTGTCTTTGTTGCTTGTGTTGCCTCTATTAAATAGCTTAGGCAAGTTACGTTAAAGTGATAGTTGTTCGAATAGCTTATTGCAAGAGCACACAACTCTGTTTCCTAATGACCTGATCGTTCAGCTGCCATTGCTTGACGATTGGGATGATATGAGTGACCAACTCAAACTGGATGAAATTGCCGAAGTACCAACCACGTGATCCTTAAGCATGATTAAGTAAATCCCTAGCTCAGGTTTAGTCTGGACACAGATGTTCGACCAGTTGCTCCCCAGTTGGTCTGTGGCGAGTGAATATCGGAAAAACACAAGAAATGGTTTACCACAAAAGAGCACAACCCCATCCACACAAGTGCATATAAATT